TTGAAGACTTACTTTGAATGAGGAAAAGAGAGCTCAAATTACAAAACGTCACTACTACTTACAATATATGCTATAGAATATTTACTAATATACCTTAATGGACAGTCTTAGATAATGTTCTTTGGAGATTTCCATTAATTGTCTCTAAGATGGTTCTTGTAATGTTTGTTTAGCAAGAATTAATTTGGTTCTTATATGGCACAGTACATGGAAAAAAACCCTCTCTGTAATCCTTTTAACTGACTTTAAATGCTCATTTGAATATAATTATTCTAAAGGATTAATAAAAAGTACTTTTTAAGTTAGCAACAAATTAAAAGTTTAGGGAAAACAGAGGTTATTTTATTGTCTTTACATCACTCCTTAAAATCATATTAATTTTCCTTCCCAACATTATTTTATTGTATTAAAATATAATCATGCTAGAAAAAATTCTCATTATGCTAGCAAAAATTAATACAAGGTAGATAGTATACTAACACAATGGCTGTAATCTGCTAATACAATAAGGACTTCCTATTATGTTTAAACAAGAATTCAGTTTTTTATTGTTTTGACGTATTTGTGTTGAAAACTGCCTCAAAAGGATAAAATGTAGCATATTGCCATGCTTAAGAAAAAGTAGCTGATGTCTTCATTTACTGCTAAAAACAAACAAAAAAAACCAGCTAATAATACATAATTTATGTTGCAGCAGATTCCATTTCTGTACTAGGGAACTGTGTACATTTTGTGGAAATAAGCATGTACACGATTATTTATGATTAGTTAAACCTGGCTTCACGAGTATGACTGAGGAAGTAGTTCAGGCTTCCATTGTGTCCTGAAGCCCAAGAGTCTAACTTCCAGCTGGTCTGAAGAAGAGAACTCCACCATGAGAGCCTGCTGTGGGGACACAGCCCTTAGCTTTTCTTGTATCGAATCACAGAATCGTAGAATTATAGAATAGTTAAGGTTGGAAGGGACCTTAAAGATCATCAGGTTCCAACCTCCCTGCTATAAGCAGGGACACCTCACGTAACACCAGGTTGCTCAGAGCCCCATCCAACCTGGCCTTGAGCACTTCCAGGAGGGGGCTTCCATAACTTCCTTGGGCAACCTGTTCCAGTGTCGCACCACCCTCACATTAAAGAATTTCCTCCTAATGTCTAACCTAAATCCACCCTCCTCCAGTTTAAAACCATTACGCCTTGTCCTATCACTACCCTCTGTGGTGCAAAGCCCCTCCCCAGCTTTCCTGTAGCCCCTTCAAGGCACTGGAAGGTGCTCTAAGCTCTCCCTGGAGTCTTCTCTTTTCCAGGCGGAACAGCCCCAACTCCCTCAGCCTGTCTCCAGAGCAGACCTGCTCCAGCCTTTTGATCTTCTTTGTGGCCCTTCTCTGGACCCTATCCAAGAGCTCCATGTCTTTCCTGTGCTGAGGGCTCCAGAGCTGTGCACAGTACTCCAGGTGGGGTCTCACCAGAGAAGAGGAGCATATTTGTATCTGACAAATTTGACCACTTCTGATACAGCTACTCATCAAGAGTGCTTCAAAAAGAATCCAAGCAAAGCTGAGTTCTGTAGATCATAATCAATACTTTTTACTTTGAAAGTCTCAGCACATTCTCTCTAAGTGCCACTACAGGAAAACAAGCAAAGTTGTGGAAAAATGTTCATCATGGGCTGGATAGCATGCACACTGCCAGATGTGATGGTGGTGATATGAAGCAGCAATCCTAAACAGTACCAGAAGTAAAAGCAGTAGCAGAAGCACAGACTAAAGCTACCCAAAGGAATACAGAATATCCTCTTCTCAAGACTACCACCTCAGGACAATATGAACTACAAGTATCATAGTGCTGCACACTAATATTCAGTTACTCTGCAGTTAAAATAGGAAGACCAAACCCCAGAGGGGCTGTTTTCAATTCCTAACCAGACCATGTGCTTTGCTCTACAGAGATTCCCCATAGCAGGAACCTCATATTCCTGTTCCCACAAGAAAATGCATCTGACAAAGTAAACTGTAACAACTGGGACTCAAAGTAGTATCTGTAAATATCCAGTGGCAGAAAGGAAAGATGCACAGAAAACTGCCTAGAACCTGAAAATTCATGGAGATCCTGAAAAATTAAAACTAAACTTGATGTTACATCTAATTGCAGCAGGCTTTCCTTCTAAAGTTCAAGTAGCTTTTAATAATAGCATCAAAAATATTAACCTGTAATTACTGTGTCGCACTAGTTTGATGTCCCATGGGAATCTCAGAGGCATGACTCATTTCATTAGTAAGAGTCATCATTTGGCAGGTCGCCAGAACAGGAATTCAACTAAGAAAGGAAGTTAGATCTGTTGACCAGGAGGAAATAAATCAAATTATTTGAATATTTGCTTGACGGGGAAGAGAAAATTGGCATGAGAAGCATTTGACACCAAAACAGGTTCTGTATACAATAGCAGCCCTGACAAATCTGGTATAGGGACAACAGTGCTGGTGACAAGGGTGCCTTCTCCTTTCTTGCCCATGTAAAAACACTCTACATATTGTTTCAGCAAAAAACAGTAAGTTGAAAATTGTTGTAGCCAACAATCTCTTTTGTAGCTTCATCAGTCACTGACTTTTTGCATGTAAATGCTTCTGGATGACTGAAAGCCAGGAAGGAACTCTTTCCACCTTTTTTTTCTCATGGAAGAACCTGTAAGAATTCAGTTTATTGTGGGAGAACTGGATATTATCCTGAAATTTGGCTTTTTAAAATTACAAATACAATATGTTTGCAATTATTATACTAAATGCAGGTGAACATTTGAACACTTCATTTGTGTGCACTAGCAGTGCCAATGTGTGCCACAAACTGGTTTGTGGATACCAAATAAGGAGCACAACTTTGGGATACAAATTGTGTCACAAAATTTAACTTGCCAGCTGAAAATATATCCCTACAAAACATACATATTTACAGGTAATAAAGATGTCACACATCTTTCAATTTTTGAGTGTTCTCAAATTAGCTCACATTAAAAAAATAACATGCAGCCTACTGGTCTAACATCTGACTAGAACAAATGGCAATGACTATCCAATTCCAACACATTTACCAACTACCACTTATCTGTATACCAAATACAATCAATTATTAAATGTAAATAAAATAAATCTCTTAAAAATTGATTTCTCAGATGAGAGGAAAATCTAGTTAGCAAGCCGAGTGTGAAATTTACATGTAGTTCATGAAAAAGTGATTACTTACGGAATTAATTGATTTTAGAAATGAATCTGAGGATGTAAAATGATGGCATAAAAAGGAAATGAACTTCTGGTTTATGCCCATGAGAAAGGTGTTTGTTTTCTCCTTCCATGCACAGCTGATCCCAGAACCTGTGATCCACCAAGAAATCCTTATTCAAAGCCATATTCCCTATTATGTGCCTTCTTACTAGTTAAACTCTTGCCCATTTCTCATTCCCCTTGTAGATGAACTCTTTGTCCACAACTGGGTTGTGTCAGAAATTCCCTTCTCAGAAGTATTGACACTTAGTTTTCAAAGTGTCAAATAGTCACTCAAAAACGCATCTTCTTACAGATTATTTCACTCACAAACCCCCTGATCTTTCAAGTACATTTCAATGCTAGTGACTTCAGCCTTATCTCTTACTCTTTTTCTTGCAGTTTCTCTGTGCCTGCCTTCCTGTTGCTCCTTATAAACAAGATGTTCTTGCTGAATCACGTTCAGATTGCTTCTAAATATTTGTTTGTCTTGAGTGCTCTGCATAGACTCCCTGTTCACCTTTGAAGCACCGAGCACCAGTGCTACTTGGCTCAGGATTCCTGTCGAGTTTCTAACAGCTTTTCTACATTCTTTGAGCAGTTTAAAGGCAAAAGAGACATGTGAGGCTGGAAAACGATCCACAGTGAACAACCTTGAAAGATCTAGTGTTTTGGAGGTCCTTCTCTTTACCACATAAACCCAAGATGCCAGTGAGAACTTAAGAAGGATTTTCCCATCCTTGAAGAGTGAGGTTGCTGACGCTAGTGACAATATCCTAGTGTAAATATTTAGGCGTTGTACAAGTTACAAGGTTTCCTTTTGAAACAGACGGCCATACTTCTTTATTACAACGAGGTTGGCTGTGAAACGCGTCACTTGTCTTTCTTCCAGCGCACTGCTGTTCGTTCTGACACAACCACCCGGCGCACGTCGGGCTGTCAGACCCCCGTGGGTGCGAGGAAGCTGCAGGGCGGCCTTAGCAGGTGGGGATACCCCGCTGATTGGCTGCGGGGGCAGGGGCCAATGGGCGGGCGTGGTGTTGCGGCGGTGCCAAGATGGCGGGCAGGTAAACAGGGCCGGGGGAGGGATTCCCGGTGCCGGGGGGTGCTGATCGGCCTCTTCCGAAACGCCTTCCCCAGGGGGCTCCTCGCCGTCCTGTCCCGCCCCTGCGGGGCTCCCCGTGTCCGGCCCGCCCTGCCCCGGGGACGAACGGCGAGGAGCTGCTCAAACACCGGCAGAAAGAACTTGGAAGAATAAGGAAGGGGGGGGGAGGGGGGGAAAGGGAGCGAATATCTTCAAGCTGGGTGTTTAAATCCTCCGCCTGTCGCTGAAATAGTGAGTATTAGAAGCTTTATAACGTCCTTGTGTAAAGCATCTAATGGTGGCTGCTTTTCTCGAGGTGAATCAGGATGTTCTCTACAATTTTCTTTCCTGCAAGGGCTGCCAGGCCCTGGCACGGGCTGCCCGGGGCGCTGCTGGAGTCACCGTCCCTGAAGGGGTTTACAAGCCGCGTGGATACGGGGATGAGGGACGTGTTTGGTGGTGGCCTCGGCAGTGCTGCGTTAATGATCTTAAAGCGCTTTTCCAACCAAAGCGGTTCTGTTATTCTGAATTAAAATATTTCTGATTCTGTGCGTATTTCTGCTTCTCTTTTCTGCTGGTTACGCTTTTATCTTGGCATGGGTAAGCTCACTTGCCTCTGGTGTCCTTGCAGTGTGACTTGAGGTGTCTTGGACTTGTTTAAACTGGAAGATGTGGAGTGGACTGTTACCTCCAGGACTTAATGAAAGTGATGTTGACTTGAGTTCTGATGAGGGAGATGAATCACATGGTTCCCTTTCCAAGGAAGGTGCAAAAGAAGATACTGAAAGAGTTCAGCTCTCTGAATTCCGGGAGGATAGACCTGAAAGTGATGTCATCAGTGAACCTGTTGTGGTATCAGTGACAGATGGAGAAAATGAGTCTCAAACGTGCCCTCCTGGAATTTCTTTAAATACGTGGAAGGTGGGTATCATTGCAGGTCTTGAAATGTTCAGGGCAGAAGTACAAGATACTCAAAAGTCAAATGGCTAATTTTAAAATTAACTCAATGTTGAACATTCAGTATACAAATCTGAAATTAAGTAAAAGATTATGAAAGTACAGTTATTGTAATATACCTTAGATTGTTTCATCAGGAATTTCTATAGGAAGTGAGTATCACTTATTTTTACCTTCTAGTTGCAGTGGTGATGGGAAGCATGGTGGGGGAATGTTTGGATAAAGACCTGTGTTCTTGGAACTGTGTGGGCTCTGAGCTTCATCACTGCTTTCTGCAGGTTTTCTGTTGATCTTTTAATGATTTGCAGCCGAGTGCATCAGCCCCTGGTCTGGTGAGGCACAGCTGCAAAGGAGAGGTGCATCTTCTGCTTTCTGAGGGGGTTAGTTGCAGGCATTCAGGCTCAGAGTTTCTTATAACCTTTTGATTTTCCTGTTGCATGGAAAGATTGGAGAAAAAAAAAAAAAAATCAGAATACCAATCTCCTGGTTTAGGCTCTTGAGTCTAAATAAGATCTGCCCAAACCTAGCTGTTCTCCTCCATCCATCCTGCTGTGTGAGGGCTGTGGTGGCAGTCATACTTGGATTACACACTACCAGGGAGGCAGTAACGATATGTGGAATAGCTCAGGATATTCTATAAGTGTACTCAATGTCATGTCCCAGGAGAAAACTGTTGGGTTTGAATGGTTCTGGTATTTAGGGAGGGCAGAGAGAGGTGATGGAAGACAAAAGCCAATTCTGGTTTAACCATCAGAGCTGGATGTTCTTGTTGCATAACTTTTAGTGTGATAGGAACAAAAAGCACTGTGGATAAATAAGAAACTGGGACATTTCTCAGCACATGATGTGATTATTATTATTTTTTTTAAATGGGGAAAAAAAATACTGACGTGCCTTTTCTTCATCTTGTAGAAATTTGTGGAGCTTCAGAAGAAAAACCGTGAAATGAAAATCCAAGCGAATCAGGAAAACAAGAGCAGAAAAAGGAAGCGCCGTAGAAAAGGTGTTTTATATAATCACATAATTTGTTTTCTCAATGTGGAATTAGTGTAAAATACATAGGAAGTGGGATTTGCTGGGTTTTGGTGGGGTTTTTTGCTTGATTTTGGGTTGGATCGTTTGTTTGTTTTTTTTAGCAAGACTTGAATGAGTAGATGAATTCTAGCTATTAGCTAAGATTGGTTTTTTTCCAGCTGTATCCATCACTTGTAGGACTAGTTGTGAGTTGCTACTTAAAGGTCAAGTAATATATTTGTTCCCTTTTTAAAAAGGAAGTACAATTTACTCAGTTAATACTGATTTGTACTGGCTAAGTGTATGTCAGTAATTCCTAAACCATTTTTGTGTGTGTGCTGGTTGAAACTCCTTCACAGATATTGTAAAAGTTTCTTTGTATGAAAAGCCTTACAGCTGACTGGTTTAAATTCACATTATCATGTGGTAAAATCCCAGAGTGTCAATCGTTCAAAGGAAATGTCACCAATTATAGTTCTGTTAACTTCACTGGATGCTGTAGGGTATGACTGTTTAATGTTGGATCTTTCTTTTCTCCCCCCTAGGAAAACAGAAAAAGAACGATGAAGTGACTAAGAGGTATAACCAGATCCATGTGATTAGCTGAGGTCTGTTTTTAATATTAGGCACACGTTGTGAAAAGCTTGACCACATGCATGGCCAAAGCCTAGCTTTGAACAACATGTAGAATACCTGCTGAAATCACTCAGTGTCTCTGTTGGGCATGCTGAATTTGATACCAGTGATTGATTGATGGAGTTCATTGCTTGGTTTTAAGAAATGCATTATTTAATATAAATTTAAATGGACTTGATGTTATTCCTAATGATTTTTTTCATGTATCTGAATACAAGGTCCTGTTTAGCCTGTTTCTCCTTCTCTTTTTCATCCTTTTCACCAGAGTAAGGTTTACAGTTGGCTTTGATAAACTTAAAGGTCTTTTCCAACCTAAATGGTTATATTAATGACTTCTGTTTGTTTGTTTCTAGTAGTCAACAGTTGGCAAATGAAGAGAAATGGAAAGAACTTACACAGTACTTTGGGATCAATGACAGATTTGAATCACCTGTAGATAGCAGAGCTCCACAAAAGGTGACTGTTGATCCAAAAGCAATGTCAGCTTGTGCTTGTCAGTAAAAGAACTCGGCCTTAACTGATATAGGAATAAAAGGGAGACATTACAAGTGAAGTAAATGAGCAAGTTGCTGAGGAAGGTTAATTTTGTTCACATTTTAAATGAATTTCCTTTAGGCAACATATGAATAGTGTTTGGAGGGAGAGGTTGCTATACTTTCTTTTGAGCCGTGACCGTGCCTCTTCTCTGGTTTTGTTTTCTGAGACAGAACACTTTATATGCATTGTCTGTCTTTTCTTTTGCTTTTTTTTAATGTTGTGTTTTAACTTTAAAATGTGTCATGTAAATCCTTTAGTTGACTCCAGTGGCTATAGGAATTAGAGGACCAAACCTATCATACAGTTTTTTCTGGATTTATAACACATTCACAGAATCACAGAATGTTCAGGGTTGGAAGGGACCTCTGGAGATTGAGTCCAACCCCCCTGCTGCAGCAGGAGCACCTAGGGCAGATCACACAGAAGCACATCCAGGTGGGTCTTGAAAGTCTCCAGAGGAGACCCACAACCTCTCTGGGCAGCCTGTCCTAGTGCTCTATAACCCTCACAGTAAAGAAGCTCTTACCCATGTTGAGGAACTTCCTGTGCTCTAGTTTGCATCCATTGCCCCTTGTCCTATCACAGGCCATGACTGAAAAGAGATTGGCCCTTCATTCTTGACACCCATCCTTCAGATATTTGTACACATTAATAAGATCCCCTCTCAGTCTTCTCTTCCCCAGACTGAAAAGCTCCAGGTCTCTCAGCCTTTCCTCATAAGACAGGTGTTCCTGTCCCTTAATCATCCTCGTAGCCTCCATTGGACTCTCTCTAGTAAATCCCTGTCTCTTGAACTGGGGAGCCGAGAACTGGACACACTACTCCAGATGTGGTCTCACTAGGACAGAGTAGAGGGGGAGGAGAACCTCCCTCGACCTGCTGGACACGTTCTTCTTAATGCACCCCAGGATGTCATTGGCCTTTTTGGCCACAAGGGCACATTGCTGCCCCATGGATAACTTGTCCATCAGGACTCCAAGATCCTTTTCCACAGTGCTGCTTTCTAGCAGGTCAGTTCTTAATCTGTACTGGTACATGTTGTTATTCCTCCCCACGTGCAGGACTCTACACTTACATTCTGGTTCGTGTTGAACCTCATTAGGTTCCTCTTTGCCCAGCTCTCCTTTGCCCAAACCTCAGTGAATGGCTGCATGGCCCCCTGGTCATATTTGAAGTAACTGGTACAAGATGATGGATAAGTTAAGAAACCCATTAGGTTGCAAGTTCCTCGTAGCACTGTTTGTTCTGTAGTTTTTCAGGAAAGGCCTGTTTAAGTTGTATAACATCAAATGTTCAGTTAGCCTCCTTTATGATACCTCGTGCTTCTGTCCTTTGCTTAAAGTAAGTTTCTGCATGCAAGTGACAGGACATTATTTGCTTCTGTTTCAATTCTTTTAGTGAGTTCAGTTGTCAGTAAATTGCTCAGGGTAGATCTGGAAGGAGGCCCAAAGTGTTAAATTGCAGATGCTGTCCATGCATGTTCAGAGAGTTTATCACTAGTAGAATGCGTGTGTCATTAATGTCAGAGAAGACATCTAAGAGAATTTGCTATCGGTGTGACTTCCAGTTGTGCACTTTTTTTCCAACTTCCACTGAAGTAATTCAAATGCAGTCTTTGCAGATCAGTTTCCCAATAATTCCATTTCTTATTATCTTTTTAAAAAGTGTATGATATGAAACTGTCAAATGTGTTTTCTTTAGCATCACTAATATGTAAAAGCCAGTGAGACTGTAAAATTGTCTTCTGTTAGGAGAGTGTTTTGTGAAATTTTCAAGTCAGTGCCTACTGCTGCACTACCCTTCTGTCTTCCTTCAGCAGTGTCCAGCTGTAACTTCCAGTAAATATTTACTTTTTATTGTTGCATTATTTGTAAGTGTTGCTAAAAGGTTGTGTTGATCATAGAGGTTCTTATTTTCAGAGGGTGAATTCTGAAGCTTTTCCATTGCTGTAGGACTTCTAGACATGTGATGTATTAGCACAGTGGAGTGGCACCATGCCAGAGCTCAGTTTTTGGATAAAGATAAGATCTTAAAACTGTAACTATACAGTGGTAATTGCCATTCTTCATGTTACCTGACACATATATTTCACAATTTGTTTAGAAAGCTCCAGGGATGGAAGAGATAAGCCAGATCTTCAGATGAAGTTTTATTGTGACAGGCATAAACTAGTCCGTGTAATTTTTTTAACCTATGGTATTATCCTGCATGTAAGGTGGAACTAATGCAGTGATTGTGCTCAGGCAGCCTTTCAGTGAATTCTTAATTATACTGTCCATCACAATACATAGACAAAGTGATTTGTGTTACATAGAAATTACAGGTTTATGCAGTGTCTTAAAATAAATAATTTTATAAAAGAAATGTTTGTAGAAAGGAGATACCTGCCTTTAAACATGTTGTTTCTTTATTTGTCCTAAAGATATTTGCTTTTCTTTCTCCAGTCTGGCCTTGAACTTAGCATAGAGAAGTCTGTGGCTGAAGGTGACATTGATAAAGCTGAGGAGCTGAGTGACAGATTAGCCATTCGTGAGGTAAGTGGCCTATTAACTAAAACTCTTTATGAAACATTCAGTTTTGTACATCTGTACAAAGAGTGCCACAGCTGAAATAACCTTGAAGATGGTTTGGGGCATATTTCTTGTTTCCTTAGCAGATTTCTGTCAGTAAGTGAAGGATTTTGCTGCTGATCTAGTAATGCTTGAACAACTGTAACTGTGTATAAAAACTGAAAATGAAACCATGAGCCATCCCCAGTAACCTTGCTTTAAAGCCTTCATGCCAACTCCACGGGTCAGAATAGTCAATAATTAGCCCCCTACATTAAGCTTTTAATTTTTCTCCATTTCACAAGCCAAGAAAACATGAGTATGTTGTTCCCATCCTGTCAGTTCCCTGTGCCTCAGATTTTGTTTTGCATTTCCCCCCAGTAAGCTTGGGAAGCCTTAAAGACGGTGGAGATTTAGCAAGTTTAGAGCAAGACTTGCACAGGTAAGGGCAGAAATACCCAACCTCATGCACTAGTGGTTTTTTTTTTCCTTGTCTATTCATGTGACCAGGAGTTGATGGCTGGAAGAATTCTGAAAAGAATGGGAGTACATGGATGTCAAACATGTTATACCCTTAGATGCTTATAGATTTAATGATGCCTTAGGTGCTTATAGAATTAATGTTTGAGGGTTTTTTCCTCCTTGCCATAATTTTTAGAATATAAATGCATATTAAACATCCAGGTGCAAGTAACTCAGTTTTTTTACAAGGTGATGTGTTAGTTGGTGTATCTGAGTAATTTTTGGAGGCTGTGCAACTCTTTGCTATAAAAAGTGGACCCTTTACATTGATATGCAGTGCTGGGTGAATAGTTAAACTGGTGAGGAATCTACCAGATGCCTTTGGTAATTGCAGTTTCATATAAGAAATAATTAAATTGGTGCATGTGTGGTAGGTGGTAGCAGCTGAAGTATGTAATTGAGATCCATGAAGGCTGTGCTGCCCATTGTTATTTTTGCACAGGGGAGAAAATGCAAAGGAAGAAAATTAGGATAAAAAGAGAGTTGGAATAATTTTGAAGCCATGTAAGAAACAATAACTAAAAAAGTACTGCTTGAGTTGAGTGGGAGAGCTATCATTTTTAAGTAATCTAATTTCTAATATTTTATATGAGAAATTAATTATATGTATTTTTGCTTTCATTCTATCTTTTATGCTTTCCTGTCTTCAGAGTTAATGGGGAGACTCTGTCCAGTTTATATACTACTAAAATTCAAAGGTATTAGAAAAGCATTAAGAGAGACAAATTCTGAGTAATTGTCATTCTCATACAAATATTTAAAATATATCTTTAAGTACAGGGATTCAAGCTAAGCTTTAATGTGAAATTGCAGATTTGAATCTGTTTAATGCAGTATCATACAACATTGTGATGGCTTTAAAAACATGGCTTTTGAAATGGGAAATACAGCTCCTGGTTTCCCCTAGCCTTGCTTAGAGAACCTTAACTGTAGGTGTTCTGACACAATTTTTAAACTCCCACAATTAGTCACCCAGGGCACTTTCTAATGACTAGGCTCTTAGCCTGCCTTCTCCCAGGTGATTACAGAACTTCAGTCTGCAAAGATAACAGCTATTGACACTGATGGGAATGTCACTTAATGTTCCCTATAAGTCTGACCAGCTTCTCACTGTGATACTGTTATTCTACCTTACTGTTCTCCTTCGCAAATGTCATTATCCTGTCTTCTCTTAAGTGGTTAGAGTATCGTAATCAATAAAACATACTGAGGTTCTAGTGCAAATTGTTTGACTATAAAAACAAATTAATGTAAGAATTTTTAAGGTTTTGTAATATTTATGATAAACTGTTACCTGGTTTTGGTAGCCATGGCATTGTGCAACATCTAGCATATCCCATGTGCTAGCAGTGTATTACTATTTGTGGAACATTAGCTCCAAATTGTTGACTTTCAAATATTAGCATGTTGTAATTCTGAAAACAAAATGCTTGAAACATTATTAGTATTCACAGCCTTGACTTGGTTTTGGTTAAGTGGGTTTATCTGAATAAATAGTATGTTGAGAAAAGGAAAACTCAAATGGCTCTGACTTGATCTCATGAGATCTGTTGAGGCAGAATCCATGTGAATTCACTGGGGCTCTCTACTGCTTTAATGATGTGCTGAGTAACCCACTGAAAGAATAATTTTTCACTGTGATTTTAAGAAGCTGTTTATTTTTTTTAATGGATTTTTTAAAATACTTTTTATTCCGAGGAAATCATTCTAACAGTGACTGTGATTCATTGAAGAGCTATAGAGAAGGGTTTGATTATGGAAGGAGGTTGATTCACAAATCATTGTCTTGTATAGAAGTACAGTTAATAAAAATACTGCTTTAATACTGTATATTATTGCCTCAATCACTGCTTTCCTTCTCTTTGCAATTTAAAGAAGTGTGCCCTTTAACTCACTTCTAAGAAGTATTTTGTAAAATGAGTTGTAATTTTAAAAGTATGCCTATTTGTATCCCTCTAACTTCCAAACACAACCCTGTGAGCAGGTCAGGCATGGAACTATCCTATGACTGTACTGAAGAGCAGCACTTCTGAAGTCTAGAGAAAGAAGGGGTTGAATTATTGTTCTTTTATCTCAATGTCATCTTTTTATGTACAGGGTTGGGGACAGGGAGCTTATGAGAAGCAGCTGCCTCCTGTTTGGGGTGCAGCCCCCCTAGCAGCCACATGAAGCATGTTCAGTGGGTAGGTGTTCTTTTTGAAATCAGGTGTATGGGGGTTTAACTGGCACCATTTTCTTTTGCAAGAAGCAGTGACTGGAACCTGCTGATAAAGCTTTTGCTTTGAGGCACAGATCCCAGAGTTCTTAAAGCCGTTTCCTGCCTTAATAAGTGAAACTAATTTTTGATGTATAACACTTATAAGCCTGTGAAACTGATAGGGCAGCTTCAGTATTTAGAAAAATGAATCCAAAAATAAACACATGATGAAAATAGGCAGTAAAAACATGTCCTAAAAAGCAAAGGAATGCCAAAGTGATGCTGTCAATTTGCTATCACTATGACACAGTGAGAAAACATTTTTAAAAATCAGATTGCTTAAACTGTCACTGATTTTTTTAATTTTTTTTTTAAGCAACATGCATAATCTAGTAGCTGTGAGTGGATCACTGAAATTTGCATCCTAAAAGCCTAAATGATGCTGTTTGAAGGGTTTGGGTCTTGGTTTCCATGTGGTGCTCGTTGCAGGTTATTTAAGGAGCATATGATTGTACTGCTGTAAATGAAGCTTTGAGCAGTATGTTTATTGCTTTCTTCTGCTCTGACCAGTAAGCACAAATGCTGTTTATTAAAACAAAACTTCCTGTAGAAACCTTTGAGGTTTCAGACTGAGAGAAGTTAAAACTTGGGTACCTTGTGCATGAGGCTCTGCATTTACTAGTAATTGCATGTGTGGATTCATGTATAACTTTTGAGACTAGCGAAATTGTTCTATTTTTTTTTTTTTTTTTCAATTGGGAGTTGCATTTTCTACTTAAAAATGAATTGTACTTATGTGATGATGATGATACTGAGTCTAATCTCTTGGCAGACCTCACTACAAAGTGTTATCCCTTGTCTCCTTTTGTTGTCCTATTTCATGGCCTAGAAAAGTGATTTCGGTTTGGGAATTATCAGCAGATCTCCAACTGTAGCATCCTTGGCCATCCCTGTTGCCTTTCCCACACATCCCCACAGCATGTTCTCTTGTGGGGTGTTCTGCTTGGTTGAGATTTTTAGAAATCCTGGAATTCATGATTGCATTATTTTATATCTGAGTGAAATTCTTCCTAAAAGAATCTGGGCGTGTCTGCATTATGTTGTGCAGAATAATCTAGGCCATCAGTCACTCTGCTTCTTCAGGGATACTGCTTCTAGAACCCAGTCAAGCTTGAGCATCCCAGTATTATGTAGTTACAGTAAATGAAATACATTTTTGTTCAGTGTCAACATAATGCAGGTGGGTCATACTGCTTAATCTTAATTTACTGTGGATTTTTAAACACACTGTTAGAATGAATTATTTCTGCAATACCTACAGCATAATGCTGTTAGTATTAAATAACTACCAATTAATTGCTGGTATAAGATGCACAGTTAAAGTTTATTATGGTATTATTATGGTAATCCATTTGCTGTCCCAAGGACTTTCAGCATTGGCAGAGTCCTTCATGTTTTAAAGTTCTGCTTTTCAAGTGCAGATTGGGCATACCCAAAGCTGGTGTTCAAACACTGCATTTACTGATGACTTGTTTGAGAGATGCTAGTAGAATTGTTAATATTAAATGTAGGAGTTAAGAAAAAAATTCTGAACCTTTTCCCATGAACGTTGTATTTATCCTTTTGAGTAAGGATGGGGTGTGGTAGTATCTGGTAATTTCACTTTGCTGTAAAACAATTTGGAGTGATACTTTTAAGAGTGCTTTTCCTAATTAAGCCAAATATTTTAAACAGATTCCCCACCACCACCCATTGTATAGAAACCTGAAAATATTTTCCAAGCTTTTTTTGCCCTAGATACAGATTTTTTCATTGGAATTTTGCACTTAAATCATTGTACCGTGTCTCAAGAAGCAGAATGCAGGTTTCTTATGGCTCTTAATATTCAGAGAACTGCTCAGGCAAAACCTCGAATTTGCTTGTGGATTTTGTGTTAACTGCCTGGTTGGTAGGTGCCACATTGTCTCAGACTGCACTAGCCTGAGGACTGTAATCTGAACATGGTAAAATAATCTTGACCATAGTAGACTTACCTGTCAAAAGCAACGCTTAAAATATTTTGTAGTTCAGTGTGCTAAATTCCTGAAGTAGTTGTCAGTCTCTAAATAGTGCAGGGTTTTTGACAGCACAAAGTGCTCAGCTTTGTGGCTTCTCACATTTTGGTAAAACACTTTTGTGAAACGTTTTTGAGAAGCTACATTTTATAGGGAAACGATGGCATCGTAATCAAGCTTATGTGAAAGGTCTAGATTGTAATTGACAAAAT